CTGAAAGAAAAGACACCTCTCATGGTCCTATACAACAAAAATTCAACAACATATTAGTAATCTAGTAACATAAATGAAGAAGAAAAAGATAGTGGAAACAATTACTTACATTAAAACGACTGTACATGTAGAAGCAACGAGCCGCTGTGTCCGGATGTCTCGATTGAAACACGTCGGCCGGACGACCACAGTCACAATTAGGGACAGGGAGTTCAGGAGGGACGGGGGCATCTTTGCTAGACAAGTCAGAGTACATTTCTCTAGGACGACCCCGTTTTTGCTATAACTGCTCCCGAAACATGTCTTCCATCTAATAAAACGGTTCAAATTAAACATCAATCAAAACAAACACAAATTAATGTAAAATGTAACATTTGCAATGCAACTAAAATATTATAAACAACAATTATAGCAACAAAAATATACATAGCAAACATACTTCTAACTAAATAATCAACCTTAACATTGATAAAATCAAACTAATATCTTCATCATAGTTTCCAAACATAATTTTTCTACTAACCTTAACTTCCATTCATAATATCCTATCCACCATTCAAACGAAAACAAAATGTGCGTCATTACCTTGAACTAGGACGAGGAGGGAGGGAGGCGGCCGGGGAATGGAAGAGAAGGGAGGGAGGCGGCAATGGAGGGCCGGGCTGCCGCCGTTCGTGGCGCGGCGGCCGGCGTGCTTGGCGAAGGGGGCGCGGGAGTGACGCCTAGGCGGCTTTGCTGCTCGGGCAGCAGGACTGGCCGTGGCGGAGGTTATACCCGGCTCTGCCGTGCCATGGATCAGGGCGCGGCACTGCCGCGCCAAGATCGATGGCGCGGCAGAGCCCTGCCACGTCAGCGGTCAACGCTTCTGGTCACCGCCACATCAGCCCTCTGCTGCGTCACAGGCATTTAGCCGCGCCAGATCAATAGGCGCGGCCAAAAATATTAGTTTAAAAACAACGGAGAGTGTTAGATTTAAAATTAGTTTTGAAAAAGTGTCAAAATTAAATAAAAATTCGCACTCGTTGAGCGTGGAGCTCTCGCAGTACCTGCCGCTCCTGCTCAAGCTCGTTGTGGTGGTGTACGTCGTGCTGTGCATGGGGTGTTTAGTTGGGCAAAGAACTTTGCATAGTAAAGATTTCTACTGTAGTATTTTGTTTGTATTTATGAATTATTGTCTAAACATTGACTAATTAGGTTCAAAAGATTCGTTTCACAAAGTTAAAGTAAACTGTGCAATTAGTTTTTGATTTCGTCTATATTTAGTACTTTTTACATATACCACTAGTTTGATATAACGGGAAATCTTATTTTTATATAGTATATTTTTCATAAGTTTGAAGGAACTAAAGAGCTCCTGCATAGATGGTCATCAGGCGGCCGCTGCTCGCTCTCCCTGGTGCGTCTGAGCAGCCAGCAGCAACCCTGCAGTGCAGTGCAGTACTGGGTGCCAACAGGAGGCTGATGATGCAAACGCAGAGCTCTTCTGCTGCTGCTGCCGCACCAACAGCCAGTTTGGTTGCCGAAATTTTTGGTAAAATAATATTATAGTGTTTTTATTATTATTTGATAATTAGTGTCTAATTATAGTCTAATTAGATTTAAAAGATTCGTCTTGTGTATTTCGTCTAAACTATGTAATTAGTTTTATTTTTTATTTATATTTAATGCTTCATGCATACGTCCAAAAATTCGATGTGATAGAGAATCTTGAAAAATTTAGTATTTTGGGAGAGCCCTAAACAGGTTCAAGCAAAGCACTGCCATTTTCAGGCTCCACGAAGCTGGTGCCAGGTTCGATTTGCTTTTTTGTTTGCTCGTCTATGCTTGTTGATTTTTGAGCGCCTTTTGAAGTGAAAAATGATTTTTTTTCACATGGTGGATTTAAGGACTGCACGGATGATGTCGCTGCTCAACCAGAAGGTGCTGGAGATGATTTTTTTTAGCACATTTCCATGTATGATGATAACCTCAGTTGCCAGTTGGTGTTGCTCAATTGAATAAAAACACATAATTGGAGAGAACTTCATATCATTATTAACACATTAGCCGTGCATAAAACGTACAAGTGTTATGCTTTTTTGTTAGCTGAGTTATTATGTTTCTTAGTATGTGCTCACCTGAATTTCATCTCACTTTTAACAGAGTTATTATGCTTATTATTTTTTTGTCTGAGTTATTGTGCTCTTTGTTGGTTGATTTGTGTTTATAGATAGCACCGTAGCGTTAGCACGGGCAATATACTATATAAATAAATATACAGTGTACTATAGGCTGGTCAAACCGATTACACATTGATTACAGGTTAATCTTAATTACTGATTGATCATGTCATTCTCCTTATTGAATATTACCTGTCATGTGATAGAGGAATCACAGCAAAATAAGAAGTAGAAAATTATTGTGCTATCCATATGCACATTGTATGTTTGCATGCACCGGCATATATGGCAACGAGCAAAAGGAAAAAGAATTAACACAAAAAGAAAGAAAATTAAGACAAAATGAAAGGGAGAGACTACTATCAATCCTCTGCTATAAATCATGTGGCCTCGCCATAGCGCCCACTCTCGCCAGCTGAGCTCGCCCTCGCTCACACCGGCCTCCGCCCTAGCCCGTCGCTCGAAGGACTTGCGCCTGACGTCCCCTTAAGCACCGCGACCTCGATCACAGGCAAGTCAAAGCCCGACGTCCAGCCGCCGTCGTTGGGGGCAGCAGCGCGTCGTGTCCCCTTGAAGCACGACGACGACCTCGATCACACGAACCGAAGCCGTCAAGCATCGCGTCCCCGGCACCAGGTACATCTTGTGATCCATTGCTTTGTAAAACCACCGACGGCTAAATTTGTTGGCGGCGCCTGCGTGCGTGAGTTTCCTGGGCGCGGCGGGCTCATGTATCTGTTCTCCGATCAGCATCTCTTCATCGATGTCGACCTGCCCAAGGACGTCTCCCAGCAGCTCTTGTCGTAGAGGTTCAACGCCTCAGCACCAACCCCACAACGTTCAAGATACAGGGGGTCTTTGACTTGCAACTTCTGTTAGAATATACAAAACCAACTTCTATTTTTGACTTGCAGCCAGTGAAAATTATTGAGAAAAAAAATAATAGTTTCAGATGTAACATGTCACATGGGAAGGCACTGATCAGCACTCTGGATCCTTACGTGTATGAGTGTGTTTCCATTGGTAATCCATCGTCGAAGTGTTCATAGATTGGTTTTCTGTTTTTCTCTAGCAGGTGCACATACACTATTTCCTGGTTCTCGAACAAAGCTTAATTGTTTTTAACTACGGATACAAATTCAGGAATTATAAGTGGAACTTATTGCAGACAGTTCTAGATCCTTCTGGCCCGTCCGGCCACCCCTGCCTGGTCGTGCGTCCTTCTTTCCCACGCTCCCAGAAAGAAAACCAGAGGCGTCCGCTGTCCGCCTTCCCCCAAATCAGTTTGTTTCCCACGGCACAAGAAAGAAATAAAAAAATAGTAGAATGCGCGCGCTCTCCGTGCACGTGGATAAATAAAATATGGCTGTTATATAGACACATGCAGAATATGACTATTATATAGAAACCTTTGAATTATTACTCTGTATGTTATCCTACTAATTATTGTTCTTTTCTTTTTATTCTTTGGAATGCAGAATTAACGACAAAAGGCCAGGGGCTCAGAGTGTGACTTCAAATATATTCTTTACTGTGTGGTTAGATCATATACTGATTTATGTGATAGACTTTCTTTACTGTGTGGTTATTCATACACTGATTTATGTGATAGACTGATAATGAAGTACGTCTTTTAGGTCTCGATGGATGGTATGGAGATGTGACGGAACTTATTCGTGGATTTATTGGCGCACGAAAGAAATGGATATCGTAGATTTCTTCCTGTCGATATAAAATATTATCTTAGGCGCATCACGGAAAGGTCTATAAAGTAGAGTTTGTAAGCCTATGACGCCGCGCTCTCCGTGACTGTTAATTTCACAAACTTTGCTTTTTGAATTAACTGTAACTTTAACGTTGGTATTTAATTTTATAGTATTGTTATCTTATCGTGCGATCCATGTGTATTTAGTATAAAAGTTTAGTTATCCCGTAGCGATGCACAGACACACTATCTAGTACATTAACAAGCCCGGAGCCCCCTAGAAATCACGTGTTCATTTTACCTGAATTTTCTTTTCGAGTAAAATACACCCTGGGTCCTCAAACTTTTGGCCCCTTTCCATCTGCGTTCTCAAACTTTTAAAGCAACTATCCAGGTCCCTCATCTTTTGCCGCGGGGCATGGATGGTCCAAAGTTAGCCACACCAGCCACATAATCCGACGTGGCCGTGCCACCATGGTTGATGGAAGCTCAGGGCATTGCATTTTATCAAAAACCACCCCCGCGAACGTTGTCTCCGTCACTCCCAACTCCACCCGCTCTCTCCCCCAATCTTCCTCAACCGGGATAGAAGACAAGGCCGGGGCAGGGCGGCGGCGAAGTCGCGGGTAGGGAGCAGTGAACGTGAAGGTGGGAGTTCATCGGTGCCAGCAAGCTCCGCGTCGGGTGCCGCCCGGCCGCACAGATTGCGGCGCGGCGGCACCAATCTATGGTAAGTGCCTCGGAGCTCTATCGCTATAGTGAATGGTACCTATTGCAGTCATTTTGGGGGCCATAGTAGTTGGTCTGGTAGGCAGCAAACTGCTTTGGTGGATATGCTCTAGTTCTGTTTTTAATTTTAGGGTTGATTTTCGTTCTTTAGGGCCTGACGATGAAGTGTTTTCAGTGGAAGTGCATCATGGGGGATTTTTCTGTGGGTCTGGTGTGGATCGGGTGTACCTAGATGGCAAGGTTGATTGGTTTCATCATATCAAAGTGCAGTACTTGTCTTTTTATGCAGTAGATGAGATATCAATGGTGCTAGGTTATGATTTGGGTGTCCCGGTGTATTGGTTGTTGCCTGATATGGACTTGTCAACCGGTTTGCGTTTGATTGATCAGATAGAGAAGCATAGATAATGAAGCAAGTTACATTTAAGGTCAAGAACTATGTGCTTTATATGGACCATTACAATACAATTGATAGCAATAACTGGGAGGACATTGTGTTCAATCCAATTGCAACCTTACCCAAAGTGATTAGTCCTACAAAGGTGCCTGTCCCTCCTAGTACAGATGCTGATGATGGTGGTGATAGTGAAGGCAGTTCAGAAGTGGATTCTATTGACAATGACTATGAAGTTGATGATATATTTTGTGATAATGTTGATAAAGGGGTGGTTCATGAGGGTGCAGCAAAGGGCATAATAGTCAAAGCAAGGAGCAAAAGAAATGCCCCAACTAGCACAGACAAGGACTCAGCAGGCAGAGAATGGGATGAGTTGGATTCTGATGAAGTTCAGAGCTGATGAGAAGATGAATTTGACAAATTTTGCAAGGACGGTGCAACTGGAGTTAAATTTGACCCCATCTAGGAACAAGTTGTCTAGAGCTAGGAGACTAGCATGGTAGATGATATATGGAGATGAAGTGCAGCAGTTTAGTGACTTGTGGAACTATGGGCAAGAACTCAGGAAGACTAATCCAGGTAGCACTTTATATTTAAAATTGCTTGATGGATGTTTTAGTTCACTGTATGTCTCATTGGATGCATGCAAGAGGGGATTTTTAAGTTGATGCAGGCCTATCATATGTCTTGATGGTTGCCACATCAAGACTAAATTTGGGGGTCAGTTGCTAACAGCTGTAGTAATTGATCCTAATGATTGTATCTATCCTGTAGCAATGGCAGTGATTGAGGTTGAGTGCCTGGCTTCTTGGAAGTGGTTCTTAGAGAACATGAATGAAGACCTTGGAATAGAGAACACTACACCTTGGACCATCACGACTGATAAACATAATGGTTTAATCCCTGCTATGGAGCAAACTTTTCCTGACTCAGAACATAGGTTCTGTGTTAGGCACCTCTACTCCAACTTCCAAGGTCAGTTCAAAGGGGAAAACCTAAAGAATCAGCTTTGGGCTTGTGCAAGGGCAAGTACAGTGCCAAGATGGAACCAAGAGATGGACAAAATTAAACTGCTCAACAAAGATGCCCATGCTTGGTTAGAGAAAATGGCCCCAAACACTTGGGTAAGGGCATTTTTCAGTGAGTACCCGAAATGTGATATTCTGCTCAACAATACATGTGAAGTGTTTAATAGGTACATATTAGATTCTAGAGAACTTCCCATCTTGAGCATGCTGCAAAGGATCAAGGGACAGCTCATGAGCAGGCACTACAACAAACAAAAAGAAGTACAAGAGAAATGGGGAGGGATGTTGATTTGTCCTAAGATCAGGAAGAAACTAGCAAGGCATGCAGAGATGGCCAACACATGCTATGCAATACCAAGTGGAAGTGGTATATTTGAGGTTCATGACATGGAGTGGAAATTTGTTGTTGACATTGTAGGAAGGCACTGTACATGCAAGAGATGGGACTTGACAGGTATACCCTATAGTCATGCGGTTTCTTGTCTGAGGCATGAGAGGATTCCAGAAGATTCAGTGCTACCTTGGTGTTACTCCATTGAAGCTTTTAACAGTGCATATGGATGGAACATTATGCCCTGCAATGACAAGTCAACTTGGGAAAATGTTGGTGGCCCACAAGTTAAACCACCTGTGTATGAAAAGAAGGTAGGAAGGCCACCTAAAGCTAGAAGGAAAGCAGCACATGAAGTTTGTGGACCAAATGGGCCAAGACTAACCAAACATGGATTAACCATGCATTGTAGTCACTGTGGAGAACCTGGGCACAACTCAGCCACTTATGCTAGGAAGAAAGCAGGAGAACCAGCAGTGAAGAAGTCAAATAAAGCTACTCCTACTACAGTTGAGCTAGATCAACAGCCAAGGGAACAACTTGCCACTGTCTAGGTTTGTGCATAGCCAACCCAATGCAAAAATGTATCAATATATGAAACTCATCTGTCATGTTTTTAGGAGGTGAACCAATAGGAAAGTGAAACACAACCACTTATGTCAACTTTGGAGAATCCAATGGTGTCACGGTTGTTTGATGAGGCAACACCTTCTTCCCAATAGCTTCCACTTTTTCCCCTTTGTAAGACTACTAATTGGATCCCATTTGTGCAGGCTGCTAAAAGCTCTAGTTTGATTTTAGTGAATTGATGAAATCCTAGGTGCTAACCTACTTGCTCTAGTGATCATGAGAATAGGGAAGCACATTCCAAGTGGTGGAGCAAATGGAGATGATCATGATGATGGTGATGGTATGGTGATGATCAAGTGCTTGGACTTGGAAAAGAAGAAAGAGAAACAAAATGGGCTCAAGGCAAAGGTGAATTTGATAGGGCCATTTTTGTTTTGGTGATTAAAACACCTAGTGGGTGTGATCACATTTAGGATAGATAGTCATACTATCAAGAGGGGTGAAACTCGTATCAAAATACGGTTATCAAAGTGCCACTAGATGTTCTAACTCATTGTATATGCATTTAGATTCTAGTGAGTGCTAACACCCTTGAAAATATTTGTGAAAATATGCTAACACACGTGAACAAGGTGATACACTTGGTGGTTAGCACATTTGAGCAAGGGTGGAGAAGTTGGTGAAGTGGAGGTGCTATTTTTCACCGACAGGACTCTAGCCACGCTGTGACCGGACTCGGCGCTGGGTGCGTTCAGTCAGCAGCACAGAGGGGCGTGGCTCGGTCTTCAAGATCGAATGATGAACAGTATTTGTGACTGGACGTGCAGAGCCTGTGTCCGGTCAGGGCTAACGTACACTGACGTGAGCTTCCACGCCAGGCAAAGAGGATTGGACTCACCGGCGCGTCCGGTCATGCATGACCTGACGTGTCCGGTCAAGAAAATCCTGCTCTGGAACCTCTCTGGAAGTGATTTGACGTGGAGTGACGCAAGGTCAGGTGGTGGCAGCAGTGTGTCCGATCAGTGCTTGGTGACACGGGCGCACACGTGGCAGGACTGGCACCGGCGTGTCTGGTCCTGTCTGTTGTGTGTCCGATCGTCACTTAGGCGCTGGCACGGGCGAATTTGACCGTTGGAGATCTGTGGTGCTCGTTGAACACGAGGAACGTGTGGCTGCGCATCCAGTGACCGAACACAAGGTGTGGAGCATCCGGTCATACTGACCGGCGCGTTCAGTCGCCTCGTGGAGGCAGGCAGTAGGGGGCCAACAACTCTTTTCAAAGAGGCTCCCTATTTAAGTCATGTGGCTGGCTCTTGCTCACTCTCTTGGCCATTTCTATTGAGAATACATCCTAGTGAGCATAGCCATCTCTCTCTCTCTCACTCATCCTACTTGATTGATTCATCATTTGGTGAGAATTGAGAGCATCCAATTGCATTGCTTTGAGTGATTGCATCTAGAGGCACTTGGTGATTGTGTTTCGCTACGGGATTTGCTTGTTTCTCTTGGTGGTTGCCACCACCAAGATGGCTTGGTGCAGCGAGGATCATTGAGCGGAGAAAGGTTATTGTCTCCGGCTTCGATCGTGGTGATTGTGAGGGGTTCTTGACCTTTCCCCAGTGGAGAGCCCAAAGGTACTCTAGTGGATTGCTCGTGGCTTGTGTGATCCTCATCTTGTATTGGTTGTGCAACACTCGATTGCGGGTTAGGCGTGTGATGCCTATTAGCACGTGAACCTCTAAGTGAGTGAATCACCACAACGAGGACTAGCTTGCCGGCAAGCAAGTGAACCTCGGTGAAAAATCTTGTGTCATCATTGTCTCTAAGGATTTCATTGGTATTCATTGTGATTGATTGATTGTCGCTTGCCATGTCGGTATATCTTCACTACCTCACTCTTGTACTTACTTTCCTAGTGTAGCTAAGCTCTTTATTGTAATTAGTTTTGAGAGCTGGCTTGTGTCTTGTCTAGTGGTTAGTGAGGCTCTTTCATTAATCTTTGAGAGCTCACTAACTTAGTGATAGTGACATAGCCTCTTGTGTGTGAAATAGAGATCTTAGCAACTAGAATTATGGATAGGAGGCTTGCATTTTTAGTAGGCTAGAAGAAGGATAAGAGGGACAAGATGACCTTCAAGAAGAAGACAAAGGGTGGTTCATATGTGGTCACTTGGGATAGTGATGCTTCCTCAAGTGATGATGACAAGACCACCAAGAAGGCTCTTGTCAACATTGCCATTAATGAGAAGCCTTCTCTCTTCGACACTCCATCAACTTGCTTTATGGCTAAGGCCACTAAGGTACAAACTTGTGATGATGAATGTGATGAGGAACATGATAATGAAAGTGAAAGTGATGATGATGATGAACCAACTAAAGATGAACTAATTAACATGTTAGAAGATGCTAAAGAATATTTTGACATTAAGAGGAGGGAATGCAAAGACTTGCGTAAAGAACTAAAAGCCCTTAAGCAAGCCTTTGATGAGCTCAATGCTACTCGTGAGAGTCTAAAGAAAGACCATGAGGAGCTTGGCAAGGCTCACAAAAAGCTTAAAATTTATTCCTCTCTACTTAATGAGCAAAATGAGAAGGAGCATGCTGTAACATGTGAGGAATGCTTAACTTATGATATAATTGATGAATCTTTCTATAAGCCTATTGTTGTTGCTCCCGCTAACCCTTCATGTAGCTCATCATCTACTTCCACCTCACTTATGAGTGATGGTTTCACTTGTAATGCCTCATTTATGGTTGAGAATGAGACCTTGAAAAAGGAGGTCAATGAGCTCACTCGCGCCTTAGGCAAAGCCTATAGTGGTGAGGACCGCTTGCTTATGCGCTTGGGTAGCCAAAGAGCTTCTCTCTACAAAGAGGGATTGAGTTATACCCCCAAAAAAGGCAAGACGGCCTTTGCTCCTCACAAGACTAGTTTTATGAAGAACAATGGTCGATTTTACATTAGTTGCAAGCAAGTTGGTCACATAGAGTAAAAATACATGAACAAGAAATCACAAGCTGATGTATCCTCAATTAAGCTTGATTCTTTCTATGTACTTACTAAGGGTACTAATGGTGTTGATGCTAAGTTCATTGGTGCACCATGGATGGGCTCAAAGAAGAAAGCCATTTGGGTATCAAAGAGCTTAGTAACTAACCTTCAAGGACCCAAGCAAGTTTGGCTACCTAAAAAAATTAATCTTCTTTTGTAGGTCAATTATAAAGTCAGAGGAAGGCATTGAGTTCTTGATAGTGGGTGCACTCAACACATGACCGGTGATGCAAGAATATTCAACTCAATCAACACCAATGATAGCAATGGTTATGATAGTATCATATTTGGTGACAATGGCAAAGGCAAGGTCAAAGGGCTTGGTAAGATTGCAATATCCAATGACTTGAGCATATCCAATGTGTTGCTAGTTAAGAGCTTGAACTTCAATTTGCTATCCGTTGCTCAATTGTGTGATCTTGGATTCAAATGCATATTTAGGGTAGATGATGTAGAGATCATAAGTGTAGATGGCTCTAACTTGATCTTCAAAGGCTTTAGATATGAGAATCTATACTTGGTTGATTTCAATGCTAGTGAAGCTTAATTGTCAACATACTTGTTCACTAAGTCTAGTATGGGTTAGTTATGGCATAGAAGGCTTGGTCATGTTGGAATGAAACAATTGAATAGATTGGTTAAGCATGACTTGGTTAGAGGCTTGAAAGATGTTGTGTTTGAGAAGGATAAGTTTTGTAGCTCTTGTCAAGCCGACAAACAAGTGGGAAACATCCATCCTAATAAGAGCATAATGAGCACTAGCAAGACATTTGAGTTGTTGCACATGGATTTACTTGGGCCAACACAATACACTAGCATCGGTGGTAACAAATATGGCTTTGTGATAGTGGATGACTACACTAGATACACATGGGCATTCTTTCTAGTGGACAAGAGTGATGTGTTTGTAACATTCAAATCATTTGTCAAGGGCATTCACAATGAGTTTGAAATAACCATCAAGAGAGTTAGAAGTGACAATGGTAGTGAGTTCAAGAACACTAGAATTGATGAGTTGTGTGATGACTTTAGAATTAGACATCAATTCTCGCCAAGTACACTCCACAATCAAATGGCCTTATTGAGAGGAAGAATAGAATACTTATTGATATGGCAAGGTCTATGCTTAGTGAGTACAATGTGAGTCAATCCTTTTGGGCTAAAGCTCTCAACACGGCTTGCTATTGTAGCAACCGCTTATATTATCACCCATTGAAAGAGAAGACACCTTATGAGCTCTTGAATGGTAGAAAGCCCAACATTGCATATTTTTGGGTTTTTGGTTGCAAATATTATATCTTGAAGAAAGGCACTATATTGAGCAAGTTTGATAAGAAATGTGATGAAGGATTTTTATTTGGATATTAACCACTAGCAAAGCATATAGATTTTGAAATTTGGCAAGTGGTACTCTTGAGGAAGTTTATGGTGTTGAATTTGATGAAACCAAGGGTTCCCAAGATGAGAATGAGAACTTGGAAGATGTTAGAGGCATTCAACTTTCAAATGCCATGAAGAACATGGACGTTGGTAAATTGAGGCCTAGGCAAGTGATTGATGAAGAAGATGATCAAGTGCAAGTGCTCTCTAACTCAAATGTACAAGATGATACAAATCAAGCAAGTACAAGTGGCTCTCATAACAATGTGCAAGATCAACAAGTGGCTAGTACATCATCTCAATCTAATGATCAAGCAAGTGCAAGCAATGTTCCAATACTTCAACCAACCAATATTGCAAGAGATCATCCATTGGACACTATAATTGAAGATATTTCTAGAGGTGTACAAACAAGATCAAGATTGGCATCATTTTGTGAGCATTTCTCATTTGTGTTATCCATTGAACCAAAGAAGATAGAAGAAGCATTGAAGGATGTTGATTGGGTGAATGCTATGCATGAAGAATTGAACAACTTTAAAAGAAATTAAG